TGGGCTGGTGGGGGGCCCAAATTGTATTAAATGTTTTTGTAGTTTGTTGCTTTTTTTTCCTCGGTGTTTTTTTATTTTTAATTCCTCTCTTTTCTTTTTTGTCTTAAGATTAGTTTATGGTTTTCTTTTTCCGTATTTGAGGCGTCTCTTCGTGGTGCCGCGGACTAGTAGCCAATTGGCGAAGCTAAGTGCCTGCACACGCCTTCCTGTCACAGACAGGGGCATGTAGGCATGTTTAGTGGCACTGGTAGGGCATTCGACAGGGGCCTCTCCAGAGGCTGTCCGAGCGGATGTAACACTCCGACTGAACACTGTTAACGCTTATCTGGTCTCCAGATACAGGTTCAAATACACTAAGGGCATTCAAGCCCTGCTTCTATGTTGTGAAGATATCCACGAGAACCTATGGCTCCTCAATATACCACAACAGTTTTAGTGTTTAGTTATGTATTTTCAATTCTGGAATATATTCTAGTTTGTTTTTTATGTAAAAATCCCATTTTTTCTTCTTTCTTAAAATTTTTTTATTTTGAAGTTTTCTTGGTTTATTTCCAATGCCTTTTCAGATTTATTTTTATTGCTTAAACTTTCTTTTCATGTAGTTTATTTAATTTTTATCTTTGTTATCGTTTTTTTAAAGTCTTAAATGTTTTGTTTTCATTTTATTATTCCATTACACTTTTTATTTTTTTTAAAGTCATTGCATGCAGTACTGATTTCCGGAAAAAGGCAGAAAAAATCGTAAAAATTTAAACGTTTTATATTATTAGATCCTTATGCTAACATTCTTGAATTCACCTTTTTGTAACTATATAGCGTACAATTCTAGAAAATTTATCTGCAGAGTTTGAGCCACTGTTCCAATGATCATATTGGCAATATTGGAACTAAGCTACCTGTTATCACACTGTAACTGATATTAACTGGAAAATTGCCATGCTTCTTCTTTGAAGCAGACGAACGTCTGGGGTTCGAAGCAAAAAAGCGCTTGTTAAGCAGGTTAACTGAACTTGTAACTAAATTTAAGCCTATCTTCTTTAAGTAATGAAATTCAACAACCTCATTCGTCGAAAAACTTCGACCTGACCCACATTTTAAGGACGAAATGTTTTAGTGTGATCTAAAAGTACGGAGTGGGCTGACTGCCTTTGCTAGTCGCATACTGATGCATTATAGTCTTTAAGATATGCTCGACTTTTAGATGAATCTTCTAGACGGAGACAATGAAACCCACCAAATATTGTAAAAGCTTGCCGAGGGCATACCTATGGTAGAACAAGTTGACTTCTTACCCGTCAAAAACTGCTCAAAGGTGATAAACATGCTTATATTTAATAAATTTTTCCTGTAATGCACTTGGTTAGATTATTAAATAGATATAAGGTAGTGTCATATGCTCTGATATGTAATTTTTTTACTGATAAAAAAAACGAGGGCTGAAGCCATTCGTCGTCATATTAAAATCATCATCATGAAAGTATAAATTACAGGTCTGATCGTCTAATATTAATAGTGATAAAATGATAATTATATAAGCTTTCTTGTGCATTATTTATGTTCGTTTGAATTACAAATAAGGTGTATCAAAGCTCTAAATTTAGTAAATCGAAATGCCAGCCTCGTAATCAACTAGGATAACTTTAAGTGTATATGCATATAACTTTTGTACAAGTCACAATGATTAAACATGAACAGAGTATATGGAAAAGACTCAGCATGTACCTAAAAAAAAAGTCATCGTTATTAATTTCGACAAAAACAAATGAACAACAAACTCCCAATTGTCCTTTATTTATGTTCGTTGTAGTAGCAGGCTAATTTATTGAAGTTTTCCCTTTAAATGTGAATATATTCATTATTTTGTTCGCTGTTACTTGTAATCACTCCTAGAATTCGGAAAAAGGATTAGGTTTACTTAGGACTTGTTTGTTGAGTTTATAGCTCAAATTATATATAGTGATTTTCAATGTTTTAAACTCATAATTATTTATGCCACCAACATGTTTTGCCCACAGATCCATTTTCGTTAACAACTAGACGATTGCATGTTGAACTTTATGTCCAACTGGAGCATGACTTAACAGATGCCGATGTTCTTTCCCGTTGTGTGCACTTTGATTTGAACCATTTCCCCGAAAGTCTACCTATACCATTCTAGAAGTTGGCATTAGGATAATTCGGAGATGTTTTGGTGCGTATTTTATTGATGGCTGCTACTGTCAGCTTCATTATCGCAGCCTTCGAGCAAAATTTTTCAAATTTTGTCGAGGCCTTTATCATTTTGACCATCTAATCTTTCATTACCATTGTCTGTGTTTGCCAATAAAGACATGCTGAAGACGCAGTTAATACTCTGAAATAATTTCTACCTATAACAGCTGTTGTGGATTGGAATGAAAAGTGGGTGACAACAAATACGTAAAAAATAGTTTCAGGAGATGGTGTAGAAGTTAAAATTGCCGATAGAGTGCCTGCGACATTCTTGTACTGGAAATTCAAAATACCACGGAAACGGCTTTATTCTGCTTGCTTCATTACTTTCTCTAACTCTTCAGTCAAAATAGATTGATTCACCTGTGAAGTTATGAGCGCTTTGCTGCTAATATGGTTTTCGGTGGAGCAATCATAGCGTATAGAAAAGAATGTGGTGTGGTTGTAAGACAGGCATATCAAATAAAATCGATCCAATTGAAAAGAATATTTGCGATCAAGAAGACGTGGAAACACCTCTATAAAGAAAGTTGATGAGTTTGGGTTCCTTCTGTTTAGGGTTATCGGTTATATTTATCTAGCAGCATTTATGGCTAACATGTATCACTGGTTTTACACTTATGGTGACTCTAGAAATAAAGCTTTGTGCGAACAGTATGTGCAGACAACTGTTCACTATCTTAAAGTGTCTGTTATACTTACTGTCGCAGCCGTTCCAGAAGGTTTTCTAGCTGTGGTAATAGTATGGCTAGACTTGTGTGCACGACGCATGGCATATTGTAGCCCATTTTCACGAGACTTGCCCAGCGTGGAGATTATGGGTCGATGCACTATAATATGTTTCGGTAAAACGAGTATATTAACGACAAGTTGTGTGTTTGTTGTAGATGTCGTGACCTTAAGAGTTCAGTCTGAAGAATTGAGCGTTTACGATTTAGAAGACTCCAAATATGAAATCATTTTGAATTCTGTTACTCGCAGTGGAGCTCAAGTTATAAACCCCCTGGCATGCAACGCAGATCTGGACATGCTTTGCACTGTGGCTGTTTTCTGCAATGAGTCTAATCTGTATCGTACTGTTGTTCTGTTCACTGATTAGATTGACGAGTCGACTGAGGCCACATTGCTCCTCATATGTAGAAAACTGGCCCAAGCGCCCGCAGCAAACACAACCTTAAGTCCGCCCTTAAATGAATTCTGTTAGCCAAACAAAGGCTTGGAATAAAAAGGCAACATTCAAATTTATGCGCATGTGTAAGCTTATGTGTATGTTGTATATCCAAGTTGAATCCTACGATTAGGAACCACTTTGTAAAGGTTGCTCCTGAAGAAATTTAAAGGTGTAGCTCTCGGTTGATGTTGGTTAATGGAAAAATAGTTCTGCCTGACTCGACCACCTTGAATATTATTGTGTTTTATGCAAAATGAATGTCAGAAAGTGAAGAAGCGCTTTGGTGAATTGGCTTCTCCTCCTTCCCGTGCTTTTCTGCAAGGGTGTTGAAACTTTCTAACTTCGATACATGAGTCCATCGAGGGTGATTTGATCTTTTTAGGGGTACGTGAAATGTTAGATCCTCTACGTTAGGAACTGCATGATGACATTTCCATATGTGAATCGACTTCTATGCGTATCATTATTATAAGTGATGAGAAAGAAATTAAAGAGACTGTGAGTTTCAAAATTGGACTGCTCAAAGGTAAAGGCATCTCACTCCTAAACTGCACAGGTCTTGAGTTTGGCAAGATGTCATTGATACAAAAAAGGAATACTGTTCAAAACGCAGTCTTCTTTAGCCGGACAGACCCTTCCCAGAAGATACAGTTAATTAAGTTGCTCCGGGAGCAGATGTTTGTTTGTGTCATGACGAGTCACAGAGTGAATGCCTCCTCGTCTCTGAAGTGCGCGTAAATTTGTATTATCATGGGTTGGGGAACAGAGGTTGCCAAAACTGCAAATTGGTTGATCCTGGTCGATGACAATTTAGCTACGATTGTGAAGGCGGTGCGGAAGGACTCAGTATTTTTTTATCACATCAAACAGTTCATTAGCTACCCTATCAGTAGAAACATTGGTGAAGTTGTTTGTGTGATAACTTCAAGGATTCAAGGCCGCCTTGGGGCGCTATCTCCTATTTAGCTTTTATGTCTTAACCTAGTAACTGATGGCCTTTCAGCGACTGCTTTTGGATTCAATGAGCCTCATCCCGACATTATGGAGCGGATCCCATGCAATGTGGATGAGCCCATCATGAATGTGTGGTTATTCTTTGTCCACATGATAGTCAATGCGTACGTTAGTCTCGCAACCGTAGCTGGATTCCTTTGATGGTTTTCCTATAATTATTTCATGTCGTCAGACCTTACCTATTTCTCAACATGCGCCGGTAGGACCTCCATAAAGTGCGTCGTTCTAGCAGACCCTGAGGCTGAACGATCCATTGTGCTTTCTATTCTTGTCACAGTCGAAATGGTGAATTTGTGAATGCGAGCAGTGGAAAACAATTCCTCATAGTATGTTATCTGACATCGAATATTTGGCTGCTTTTCTCTATTTCATCTTCAAATGTCTCGTATTTGAAGATCATGTATATAGCTTTCTTCTCAGGGCTCCTTCCTATTACACCTCTGGGAGTTGATTCGATGGCCGTGCGGTCAGCGCTGCCCTGGGCTATACTAGTTCCAACCAATTTTACTAATGAAAGGTAGTGTTAGTGCTCAGCATTCCCACTATTTTCATTGATGAAATTCCGAAGTTCATCTCTCGAAGATTAATGTAAGCAAAGTCGAAAGTGTTTTCTAAAGAGATTAATTGGATAAGCATCGTGAATATATGGAAGCCGGAAGGAAGTAAAAACAAAATGGTGCAATGGTTCTACAAGGATGTAGATTTGAAGGAATTTGCTCTGCTACCTTCATATAATTTATTTAACAGGGTGTATTTGGAGATGAGTCACCTGTATAAATGAATATTAAAACCAATAATGTAGTCTATACATGACTTCTATGATATCTTTATTAATTTTCATGTGCACCTATCCTTGGAATTGCTAATTCACTTGAGAAATTGTATTTCTTTATTAACACTTAACAATTCTTTAGTTACATACAAGTATATCTATATTTATATATTGATGTACTGAAACCATTATTTTATAAAAGGTTGCGCTTACTATTGCTTATTACATTGTTGCATTCAATATTCTGAAAGATTTGATTGCCTTCTCAGGATACTTCGGTGTTGACGTACAGAAGCATATATCACACTCAGACTATTTTTGAATTATTTCCTCACGTGTGGGTGAAGTCATGTCATGCCTTCCTTCCATTCCTGTGATTGGAAATAATTCAAATGGATGTGTTCGAAGCAATACTACTGTATTTGATACTGTTCCTAACACAGCTCCCAACACGCATGTCTTAAACCGATTGCAATCATTGTGTAATGAGCCATCCATTCCAATGGAGTCCAGGCAAAAACTGTTAGCCATTCTGAATATTTTGCAAGGTTCTAGTCCCAACACTCTGAATACCGCGTCGCCGCAGTCTTCCAACGACAGATTCTCGAACACTCGGTCTATTAGTGCCAGGAGTTCGAAACAGGTCGATGTGCATGCGCCACTGTGGCATAAAGCGTACGCGCAAAACAACGATGATCAAAGTTTCCGTGTGGAGGGTTTTAATCTTGCAACGTCTCGATTCAGCAACTTCGCCAACCCAAATTCGCACAACAAGCGATCCCTCCCCGTACTGCAGGATCACACCAAGACGTTTGCCAATATGAACAAGACATTGTGCCAGACAATGCGTTACGTTGAATCTATCTCTGAATTAGAGTTTGACATTAATGATGTCAGAGAATATGATAATAGTATCATGGTAGACAAGGAGCGACTTTTTCTATCAGTTTGTTGTAGTATATTTGCCAACTTCTCGTTCACTACTACCTTGGGCTTGGACATTCAAAATCTCACCAATTTTCTTATCAACATATTTAACTACTATTCGAGAGAGCACTATTTTCACACGGCCCTGCACGCGGCGGACGCCCTTCAAATGCTCTCTTTGTTTTTTCGTGAACCCAATACTAACTTCATTTTTACCGATGAAGAAATTCTACTGGCTTTTCTGAGTGTTCTATGCATTGATATCGCCCACCCCGCGCTGCACTCCACAACCCTTGTTGAGTTGAATCATCCCCTGGTCACGGTCTTTGGAAGTTTGTTTGTGAAGAAACAAGCAAGTCTTCTGGTCTTTCTGCATCAGCTCTTTTTGGATGAATGCTTTTTCCTGACTTCACCACAGTCGGTGTTCCACTCGAAGAGTTTACTTCAAGAAAGTCTCAACACGATTGTAGTCTTCACATCGAGCAAATTTAGACCATACCTGCTGAACCAACTACGCTGTGTTGCTGCTTCCAATCGTATCGATGGTGATAGCATACCGTATCTGCTGTCGGCTCTCACACACCTTTCCTTTAACGCTTTTGCGTTCCGCCCGCGTAAGCAATGGCTGTTCTGGAGCAGTTGTCTGTACTCTGAATGGATTCGTGAGGAGGATGAACGACATCGTCATTCGTTGAACAGGTTGTTCCCTAATCTCAATCTTGATGCAAAATCAGCAGTCTCGACAGTAGTAGGCTATTGTGCCGGCACAGTAAAGGTCCTAGCGGATGCACTCAAATCACTCGTGCCGACGGACCTTTACGACAACCTAGAGCGCAATATCGATCTGGCTGCAGTTGAGGCCGAGATCGAATCTTCGCAGTGTGTCTTTTCAATATCCCAAGCGACGCGGCCGTGGAGTGATAGCAGTGCGTCGGTAATTGAGGTCCTCAGGAGGAACACGGCGCACGCCAACAGTCTAGATCGTAAGGCCTCCAAATGTGCTATCCTTAACGCCTCGCCACAGCGATCCGTAATGCATTCTATGGAAAGGCAAAACTCCATGACACACATTTCTTCGCAAGCTTCAATGAGTGAAGTCAAACTGGACTGCTGTCAAACTTGTGGATGTCGAGCGACACTTAGTTCAGTTTACCCCACACGATCGGAACATTACTTCTCGTTTTTGCGGTTATATGACGAATTCGAACTGAGTGGCCGTTCTTCATCGGATTTTTCAGGTCAACTTATCTTTTTAGCCTTGCAGCTTGATCCACACTATATCGGACGCTATGCACGGGATGCCTTTGGTGATGACTGCACTGCTCAACAGTGTGTAGAGATGGCAAAGTTAATTCGCACCGTTGAAGAAACACCATCAACCGCTGAAGTCATTGTCAACCGCCGCACTGGTAATCACAGATTAGCATTAGCGCTGGATGAATCTAACTACACAGATGGATTTTTACTTCTCCTGATCAACATGTACTTCCAGCGTGAAGAAGCAGCCGATAGGTTAGTAGATTTACATATATCAGAGGAAAATAATAGTGAAGATACTAGCTGTGGTTGCAAGACAACACTCTCACATATGCTGTGATTAGCCAAGGATAATAAAGTACACTGAGGCTCACCTTTACGCTATCTTGTGAATTCTGATACTCAGAAGTGAGAGCTGCGCTTTCAATAGGAAGATTAATATCAAATCTTGTTGGTAGTAAATTGATTAGCATATATTTTAGAAATATATTATGATGTCAATAAACGCCGGATGAATATCCATTCTATACGTTGCTTCTGTCTCATTATACCCTTTCAAGTACATTTTGCCAATCTCTAAATAACTGCATGACAGATCAATGTTTTGACGCCCTGTTGATATGATTCCCTTTTCATACACTGTTCTAAAATTACATCAGGGTAATAGGGGTTATTTGCTACTCGTATAAATATTCTTTAACTTTCATCAGTTGGCACTCCGCGTACCGTTTCTAATTTTTTATATACTCATGTATAATTGGTATTTTGTTGACTAGAGTGAATGCGAACTTGACTGGTGGAGGTCTAGTTTTTAGATTTCACTCCACTTGCTTCTGCCCATTCATCTCTTCTTAAGTGCAGTTTTATCTTTGTGAAAAAATCATTATTTAAATAACAACAACAATTTCAACAGTATAGGTTTTGCGATGACACGACGTATCAGTGGCTTTCTTGGAGGGTCGTGTAGCGCTGTTATGGTGGTGTCTATGCTCCTCAAACACGACTTATTGAGAAAGTCAAATTTAACGGATATGCATATCAACGAGCTAATACAGCATTCAGATCCTATTTTAGATCGATGTGGAGTACTTATGAATAGTCTAACTAACGCGAGATGCGAATGTGTTATGCTTCAAGATGTATCAGGAGAGGAGGCTAAGTAGGGAAGCATTTTCATAGATGTATGCATGTCTGCTATTTCTTAATATTGTCTATGCGGTGTGATAAGGCATTATTTGACTGAATATCGATGTCTTAGCTTATCTCCTTTTTGTTATATTGAGTGGAGGATATGCTCTAAGCAGTGTATTCCAGGCAACTTCTTTTTCGTATCTTTTTGTGTGGAAAAGAGTATTGTTTATGTTAAGAAAATGAAGTTGAATTCGATGTTTCAATCTGATGAGATCAAAAGGAGGTTAGAGGAGTCACATCATAGGGGATAGAGATACTAAATAAACGCACGTTATCTTTTTTGTAAATTATTGTGCAGGCAGTGATTGTCTATTTTAACAAGTATATCGTAGCGTCCCAGACGGAGTTTATTTATTATACTTTTTCTTCCTCTTGAATTCATATATTACGCAGATGAATAAAATGTCTCTTTAATTGATTTACTTTAATCTGATGCTTCGTCTGGAGCTAATGATGAAGATATTCGTCGGAAGAATTATCCGTAGTAGCAAGGATGTGCTTTTAAACCTTTAAAAAGAAGGTATAAGGTCAAGCATCTTGCGGGTTCCCTTTATGTATGTTACCAAATTTGATGCTGACAAGAATTCTTACCTTTGTCCGCTTTTTTTGGGATCCAGGTTTCTATCTTTTCTCAATCTATCACTCTCATAGTGCTATAAAATTATTTGTCACTAAGGAATTTTCGGATCTTATTAACATGCAAAATGCTTCAAGTCGAACTAGGTGCACAATTCGATAGAAATTCAACAACTGAATTACCTTTAAATTCATTCTATATTCCAAACCTCATTCCTACACATTCTCATGACCTCAGTGGTGATAACGCCCTCATATATGATTCAAATAGCCCTGCGGTATATGCCGGCCACCTCTTCGTGGTGCCGAGGACTAGTAGCCAATTGGCGAAGCTAAGTGCCTGCACGCCTTCCTGTCACAGACAGGGGCATGTAGGCATGTTTAGTGGCACTGGTAGGGCATTCGACAGGGGCCTCTCCAGAGGCTGTCCGAGCGGATGTAATACTCCGACTGAACACTGTTAACGCTTATCTGGTCTCCAGATACAGGTTCAAATACACTAAGGGCATTCAAGCCCTGCTTCTATGTTGTGAAGATATCCACGAGAACCTATGACTCCTCAGTATACAAATAGCCACCAAAAATTCGAGTTTGTAGGCGCATCGCAGACTATATATCACTGAATCAACCCAAATGCTTCCTTTGTTTTGAGCAAATCTTTCAGTCGCACACTATGTCACTGCAAACTTGTATAAAAATTTCATAGGATCAACACCAATACTTTCAACATAACTGCTTCATTACAACTTCCCTGATTCTTTGAAGCAATTATTAGCAGGATGCGTTTTTCCGTCGACTGTGAAAGCGCACTAATCAAGTACGCTGCTCATAGAATCATCTTATGATTACTGACGTTCGTATAATGTACGAGGGTAGTACTTATTTTTATTTGATAACTTAAAGATTTTTCTACTGAGCTTACAAATTTCCTTATTGAGTGTTATCCAAGCTCATTTATGATATGATGCTAACGAAATATAGATGCGCTCTATCGGCACGGGAATCTCTCCTGGATTAATTGACCCTCTATAAAGTCATTGTAGTAAATGCTCGATGAGAACTGAATGTAGGTTCCTCCTTACTCCACTTAACCCTATGACGGTAGTGTGGCTTAGCGGGCTATTAGTCAGCTTCTTCATCAAGTGCTTCACAACTGTGTTTTCTCACACAAAACACTAGTGAAATACCCCGTCTCTGATATCGTCGTAAGAACCATGGAAACGTTTGTGATGCCCTTTAGGATCTGAGCATCACCAAAGGTAATCGTCATGTAGCGGATGTATCCGTATTTTGTTTAAGAGACAGGTTTCCCCTTCTTCCCATGACTCAAACAATATGCAGGTGAAATATCTCAATGAGTTTAGTGTCTTTGTGTTGGAGTACATGTAGATCAATGAGAGCTGTGTCACGTGTTCAATCATTTTCTGTTACTTCCAGAATTTGATGTAGTTTCAGGTTTCATTAATATTTTTCCGAGGAAATATCCAAGCTGATTCACATGATTTAATAAATGACGGAGTATCGCAATAAATCCATTCGTTGAATGTGATAGCCCCACCGTCGCATTGAGCTTGATTTTCTCAACCCCCAAAGCTCTAGTAAGTATCATGAAGTGCAAGATGGTGTAGGTCATTCTTCAGCACGAAATTCCCTTGTGTCAGGGCTGGAAACGAATCCAGGAGCTTTTTGCATAATTTTAATTAGTTGGGTAATTCTTAGTTTCTGTAAGTTTTGAATTTGCATATTTCACTAATGTCAACTAAAATACAAATTAGTATGCGTGGGTTGTGTTGTGACTTTAAAAAGAATTGTGATGATATTGCAGAAAACAAAAATGACTAATACTTTAAATTTAATTATTTTTTCCTTTAAAAAGAAAGCACCTACCGTATTTTATGTCTTTTAAAATGTATCATGTACCCACAGGTTTCTTTTATTAGTTTATGATAATGTCTAAATGTTAAGTTCAAAATTTTCGATGTCCTTTAAAATATACTTTCCATTCTCTATTTCTGTTAACGCTTTTTTGATCAGAAAAGACGATTCAGCCTGAAATAATAAATTATACTGTTACTCCATCTTGATCCATGCCTTTTTTATAATTTTATGCCTAAAAATGTTGAATCATTTTACATTGAATAGGTTAATGTGGAAGTAGTTCTGTGTTCTTTCATCGAAGTGAACAAACGTATTGACTTTGCCTAAGCCGATTCTAACAATGTTTAAAATTTTCTTATTTTTATCTCCGTATCAGTATAATTCATCACTACGAAAAAGCAAGCAAACAATCATTTTAGAAATAACGTAAACACGCTTCCACTAGTCTATGTCGCAGTGGATCCCGAAAACGGCGTGGAAGGTGTCCAACTTGAACAAGCGCTATGGACAGCAGTACATACCCAAGGGCTACCCCGTTGCGCAGGGCGGTGAACTCCTTTCAAGCTCTCACACTTCCTTATACGATGAAAGGGCTCTCAAGAAAGAATGTGTTGGTGAAAATTTTATGACAACTCTGAAGGTAAGTGACGCGAACCTGTTATCAGAGGCAACAATAATTGATTTGCGTGAACACTCGGTGAGTCAGCGTGAGCCATTGGGCTTACCCTCTGTTCTAGTCTTACATTTACATGATCTTCTCTCTGGAGCAGCACTTCCGTTACTTCCAGAACGAAAAGCGCAGAGTGAGTTATTTTTGGTGGCTCCTAATACACATCGTGCGATGAATGGGGCTATAGGCATGCGTCGATGGGGCTACAGTAACGTGTCTATTGTAAATGCAGCCACGATTTCCAATCCTATCAAGGATATTGAGTCGAATAGAAAAGAACATTGATAATCATGTTGTTTGTGTGGTGCACGATTATACTCTATAGCCAAATGATGATAAGCAGATGCCTTGATGTGACTTCACGGCATTATGCAAATCTTTTTAGTTTTCCCTATGTTTACGCACACATTTGTCGTCTCAAATGGATGGATTAGTGACTCTTTATATGTTTTACTGTGTTAGGGAAACATCTTTTGCGAGATCTTAAGGTTACTACTTCTGTATTGATACAAAAATGTCATGATATCAAAAAAGATGAGTACGGACAGCTCTAAGGCCTACTTACCGAAGAACGCTAGGAATGAATGGAAAATCCATCTTGTTTTACTTTTTCCCTTTTATATCTCAATTCAGTGCGGATTAAATCGAAAACCCATCCAAAGGGGTCTTTAAAATCTCTTGAGCGGTCCTCTGATGTTGTGTTACTTGCCCGGCCAAGCGGTCTCCATGGGCACTTTTCCAAGCTCACAACGGAGTATATCAACATTCCAAATAAGGCGCTTGCATAGCGAAACAGCTCATCAGGGCCTGAGGCTTTTGTTGAGGCGATGCGAGCGGCCCTTGGAGTGATATTCCCATGCTAGGGTTTCTGCGGATGTTGAACCGTATGTCATTTGTTTTTTTACTAAAATCCATAGGAGTGTTATGTTTCATTTATGTGCAACGCAAAACACAGTCCAACGCTTCAACAGGTTGGGTAACCCCGTGTTTTTTACAATATGGGCATGATTTTCTGATGTATTCTGATGGGAAAAAACCGGATCTGGTTGTGATCCATCATTTTTCTCACTACCTACCGAAAGACAGGCGTCTGTTCAGGTGATGGTGCTGTCCGTCGGGGTGGGGTGGGGCTGCAGGGTTGGGATTGACTAGGGCAGTTTTTCAAGTTCATGTCTGGTCAGTTTCTCCTCTGTGATGAGGTTCAACTCATTTTATTATTGTTGTTAGCTCTTTGCAGAGAACGTATCCCTGTGTCAGTGTTTTTATATTTCGATATCAGGCGGTTCGCCCTTGCCGTATGGTGATAGAAACTAAGCTTGTAGCACGAAGTTGGAAGAATGAGTTCCTTGATATTGTAGCATTTGCCACTTCTATCCTACCGGAGGATCAGCAAAGGATCAAGGGTGGGGTTGACATGAGTGAAGCCGAAAACATGCAATGTTTCTTCAATAAGTTAATACCGCTCCTAATTTTTGTTTCCTTACCTACAAAATATACTTTGATGCTTCGGTCTGCAGTTCATGGGCCTTCTGGTTTGCAGCTGAAAATGACTGTGTCCCATTTTTAGCATCGAGATAGGGATGCACAAATTGTGGATAGGGGTATCGTGGCCGAGGTTGAAACTGAGGATGCATTTGAATAGGCCTTTAACAAAAGCAATGGTCCCACAGGTCCATTCTTGTGAGTCTGAAGATGTGTTCGAAGAACATACTTGACCAAACTTGTGGCAGTCACACTTGAATTCGTATCTAGGCATAGCTCCCGAGAGGTGTCGGAAGGTTGAAGTCTTCGAATTGAAGGGGTTGGAACTGACTACGTCGTAATCCAAGAGCTCGATAGTCCTTTAGCGAATTTTGTACACTTCTATGTGGTGCCATGGCTTAGCAATCTTTCATTGGTGATGCTAAATGTCTACATTCTTATGATAAATTATCCAAAACTTGCGATGCTGGCAACTAATACAGTAAGAATATAAGATAGGACCCCCCCTCCCCTCTCCTCCTTCCCAAGGGTTGTCCGAGAGGGATAAATATATTGATCGTATGGCCGTTCCTTCTGTGTGCGTTTTCTGCCGTGCAGAAAGTATTAGCAATTTGTATCTTAAATCAATTGCCTTGTTGATGGAGAAGTGGGGCTCTTGGATTGGTAAAGTGCCAATGTGGACCAGGGGCAATCGAGAGCATTTGTTATGGTTCGAGGAGCAAGAGTTACACAGAATTACCGAAACGGGTCATGCATTCCTATGAACATTACAACAGAACTAGAGGGGAATGAAATACTCTAAAATTTAGCTAATCTTGCTGAAGGATATGATAAGCTCTAATGGCGTTCAATTGAAGTTCACCAGCATACGCGACAGGGGGGGGGTTCCCTTTCCCAAACGGCCCCCCTGGGGGCCGCTGTCATCAATGCGACCCTTCAAAACTTTAAATTCCATATTGCCAGAGTTGTACATCCGACCCAATTCGGTAATCACGAGCTCAAATCCTCTTAATTTGCTCTTCAAAGTTGACGTCCGGCCCTGCTTGTTCTGTGGTGTTTTTAGCCGCCATCACCCTTTATGGAACCCAATTCTGGTGTCACTCGTGGGTGAAAATGCTAATTCCTTTGAGGGTGTGATAAGAGACCAGGGACTTCCCCTTGGAAACCAGATGGGAGAGTCCACCCTCGCTAATGGAACCGCCCGTAGCACAATCGACCTTGTGATCATACGATTCGCAACTGGCACACCGCTGTCACCCCTGGCGGTGCCCACCACTTCATCTATTGTTCTATCCCACTCAAAAGCCTCATCCCACCGAAACGAAGCGTCCGAACGGTCCTCCGTTGGAAACTCGCCAGCCAGGAGGAACGCCGTCAGTGCGCCAAGAAACAGCCGCCCCTATTTGACCATCACTCAGCTCACACCGCCCTTTCCGACCTCAACCGCACAGCACTAGAAGCAGCCCCAATCAGCTGTCCAAAAGGCCGCTGTAAAGGCCACCTGGGCAACCGAGATTGAAATACCTGATTTGGAAGCAACCCGACGCAAAGAGGGGCTACTACCCATTCTACATAATGGAAAATCAGATCACCTATTGACAAGAGGCATCCGTCCGTCAAACCACCAGTGTCTGAGCCCAAGATTCCGACGTGCCATTTCCAAACAGCACCCAGGCGAGAACCCCCCGTGGAAATTCCCCTCTGGTTGCTATGCGCCTCCAACGTCCCCACGTGTAATTCCCATCTGAGATTCTAACAAAATATGTGCCCCGAGCAAGACAGTACTCAACAGTTTTCCCCAAAAGTCGTTGCTAACGTTTCCGCCCAGTAAACCTTGCTCACTCCCTAAACACACAGCCTGCAGCCCCACGCTTCAGTTTTTCTTATAGGTTTTCTAGACTGTTCTTAATTTCGGAACTCTTCTTAGTCTGTTTTTATTGGTTTTTGATCGCTAGCTTTAGTTCTGCATGCAAGATTGATCTTAGGATTTCTTTCACTCAT